GGTCGACCGTGAAGCGCGGCGCGGCCAGCGCGGCCGAGATGGGGAGCAGCTGCTCCAGCTCCAGCTCCAGCTGCTCCAGGCGCGCCTCCAGCCTCTGCGCCTTGTGCAGCACCTGGAGGTTCTCGATTTGCTGCTCGATGCGGAGGACGTCGGCCTCGGTCATGAGCTCGCCGAAGGGCCCGAGGATGGCGTTGTACTCGTGAGAGTACCTCCAGCCCTCTGGCGGGTAGCAGCACGCGCTGGCGGCTGTCAGCTATGGCGGGGGAGACAAGAGAGGGGAGGGAGGCGCGTCTCCTTCTGGCCCCGCTCCCGCCGCAGCGGGGGCTCCTTTTGCATGTCCAGGGTGGTGTAATGGCTCCGCGGGGCTGGTTGGCGGGCACCGGGCCCCGTGCCTGGCCGGCGGCGGGCTTCGGCTCCGGGCGGTGTTCGCTTTGGTCGCCGGTAGGGGGCAGTGCTGGTCTCTGGCGCCGCTGCAGGGCGGGCAGGCCGCCGGGTGTGGGGGTCTCCAGGCCTGGCTCCGTGGCTCATTACACCACCCAAGGAACATGCGAAAGGCGTTGAAGCTGACCACTATCCAGGGCCGACGGTTTCCTGACCAGAACCCCAGGGAGATACCCCAGGCCACCTGACGGCCAACCCTTCCTCAGGCTCCCTGGGGCTCAAGCCCTGCTTGTCTCAGTGGTCAGTGTTTTATCTCTGTGGACAGGTCACAGCACTCTTTTATTTATTTATGTGTTTGTTTTTGCCCGTCCTGGGGCTTGAACTCAGGGCCTGGGCCCTGTCCCTGAGCTGCTTTTGCTCAAGGCTAGCACTCTACCTCTTGAGCCACAGCACCACTTCAGCTTTTTCTGTTTATGTGGTGCTGAGGAATCGAACCCAGGGCTTCATGCATGCTAGGCAAGCACTCTACCACTAAGCTACATTCCCAGCCTCCTCTTTTTAAGTTTTTTGTATGTGTGGGCCAGTCCCAGGGCTTGAATTCAGGGCATGCATGGTGCTGTCCCTGAGCTTTTTTGCTCAAGGTAGGTGCTCTACCACTTGAGCCACAGCTCCAACTTCTGGCATTTTTGCTTGTTAACTGGAGATAAGAGTTGCATGGACTTTCCTGGCATGGCTGTCTTTGAACCACAATCCTCAGATCTCAGTCTCCTGAGTAGTTAGGATTCCAGGAGTGAGCCACCTCCCCTGGCTTCATTTGGATATTTATAATGTAATTTCCATGCCATACATAGTTATCACTACAGGCTGCTGTGGACAGTTGGTAAGTATATGAGTCTGTCTCATCCCATACCTAATGATAGGGTCTTATATGGCCCAAGGGCCAGACATTGCACACCCCTGACACCCACTGCATTTATAAAGACCTCAGATCTCCATTTAACTGTCCCAGGCTCTCCATTTTCCAGCAAAACAGCCATTCTTTTTTTTTTTTTTTTTCCGGTTGTGGGGCTTGAACTCTGGGCCTGGGTGCTGTCCTGAGCTCTTCAGCTAAAAGCTAGTGGTCTACCAGGTGAGCTACAGTACCGCTTCCGGTTTTCTGGTGGTTTATTGGAGATAAGAGTCTCACAGACTTTCTTGCTGGGCTGGCTTTGAACTGAGATCCTCACATCTCAGCCTCCTGAGTAGCTAGGATGACAGGTGTGAGCTACTAGCGCCTGGCTTAAAACATCCATTCTCATCCAGGTGGTTGGCCAGGCCTTGCTAACCTGACTGCCACTGACCTCTCCATTTCAGTCCCCTAGAGTATGGTCCTAGAGCTACACACCCTCTGATTCTAGATCACCCCACCTTGACAGCCTTCTCTTGACTCCACACGTCCCCTAGCCACCTCCTGCTCCTCTTCCAAGACTTAATTTTTTGAGATGTGAGGCGGGAAATCTAGGGCTTGAACTCAGGACCTGGGTACTGTCCCTTAGTTTTTTCAGTCATGATTGGTGCTCTACTGATTGCGCCACAGCTCCACTTCTGGCCTTTTGGTGGTTAACTGCTTAGACATTCCTGCCTGGGCTGGCTTTGAACCACAATCCTCAGATCTCAGCCTCCTGTGTAGCTAGGACTGGAGGCATGAGGCACCAGTGCCCAACTAGATGTTACTACTTACTGTCTTATCATCTTTCCCCAGCCCAAACAGGGCAGCTGATTCAGAGCCCTGGACCCCTGTGGTTATGGTCACAGCACCCAGTGTGATCAACAAAGCACAGTTATTTGTCTCTCCAGAGATCACTTTCACATCCCTCCCCAGTTTTTCTCCTAGTTGAAACACCACCTCCCTCCTCTTCACAGCTACTTTGAGAACAGGCCTTGATATATTCACTATGAATACCTGGAAAATACAACGTGTGTGTGTGGTGTGCATGGTGTGTGTGGAGGAGGGGGGCTAGGGAACACTAATTGGAAAAATGAGTAGCACGAACTCCTGTTGACCAGCCGATCTTACAGATGTGGAAACCAAGGCTGGACAGGGCTCAGAACCCATAGCAGTCAGGGGCAATATGCAGACAGAACCCGAGTCAGTCTGGCTACGATCACCCTGGACAACCACTGTCATCATCAGCCCCACCCAGGGCTTTGAAACAAGGAATCTGCCCAACTCCATCCTGAATCATGAATCAGAATAGGATTTTTTTTTAAAAAAACCTTTTGGGCCAGTATGGTACTGGGGCTTGAACTCAGGGCCTAAGTACTCTCCCTTAGCTTTTTATTTATTTTTTTGCTCCAGCCTGGTGTTCTACCACTTGAGCCAAACCCCGGACTGGATTCAAACTTATACCCTCAGATCTCAGCCTCCTAAATACCTAGGATTACAGGTGCCAGGCTGGGGCATTTTAACACGGTCCCAGGTGAGCTGAGAGCGCATTAGAGTTTGGTAAACAAGAGCATCTCCCGAGGGTGGGCTTGCTGCGACCAGTCCCCAGAAGAGACCCAGCAACCCCAACGGTCCTCCAAAGGCAGGAGGGTGAAGGGCCGGGAGGCTGAGAGCTTTGGGCTCTATGCAGACCCGGGGGCTTTACGGGAAGCCCAGCAGGCACCCACCTTCCGCCTCTGCTCCTCCTCTTCCTGCATCTTCAGCTGCAGCTTCCGAACCATCACCTGGCGCTTCCACTCGGGGATGGGCCGGCCCTGCTCGTCGTGGGTGGGGATGAGCGCCTCCACGTCCAGTTGCACACCCGGCGCAGGAGTGGCCGGCGGGGCCGGCACCAAGCTGCCGTTGAGCACCGGTTGGGACCCCGCAAACGGCGGGGTGGGGCTCCTGGGCCGAGACGGCGTGGGAGACACCGGCAGCTGCGGTGAGTCGGGCTGCGGGAGGGCACAGCGGCCGTGCTGAGCACAGGGCCGGCCAGGGACGCTGGGGGGCCCCGCCGTTCCGGCGCCTACCTGGGAGGCCGGCTGCCCGCTGCCGGAGAACACTGTGGTCAGCCCCTTGCTCTGCGGGGTGGGCTTGAGGCTCTTGCCTGCCTTGATCTCAGCCAGCAGCTCTGAGTTGTCACCCGTTGGGGACATCATGTTGAAAGACTTGGTGCCTGCCCGCAGAAGAGGCTCTGGTTGGGGGCCGGAAGGCATTGCTACCCTCCCCCACATGCTCCTTGACACCCCCTTCCCCAGATGCCCCTCCAAGCCGGGAAAGGTGGAGCCCTTTGGAGCCCCAAGGCAGGTCCTTGGATCTCAGGGTCCCCTGGGTCCCCCAGCCCCTGTCCATGGCAGCCCCTCCCCCCCTTACTCACTGGGTGGAAAGACCCGGCCTGGAGGCCTTTGGGAGCTCATGATGGCTCTGGGGCCAGCCCTGGAGGCTCCCGCATAGGTCTCCGCCCAGCCACTGACTGCGGGCTCCAAAACACTACCCTGGGCCAGGCACTTGACCTTTGTCCCCGGTTCCCTTGCCCGGCCCCACCAGGGTGGAGTCTTCTTCTGGCCCTCTCCCCGCCTCAGCAAAGCCCAGTGACCCTTGGACTGAGCACGGGCGATCCTCTGAGGTCATAGATTCAGGACCCTAGCATTTTGGCACCCATCTGAACCCCCTCCACTCCCCCCTTCGAGACAGACGAGCAGGCACACTGATTGCAAGCAGGGAGCACACTGATGGCGAAGCACAGCTCAGCTCTGAGGGACCCGGGAAGGAGGTGCTTCCTGAGGACAGCACACAGGAAGGAAGGTCAGGCAGGTGCGCATGCAAATAGGCTGGGCATAGTTTGCATCCCCCGCCCCCCCCAAAGCTGGCGGGCAGAGGTGAATGGGAGAGCTGTCTTTGGAACCCTGAAGAAGGGGTCAGGTCTGGAGGAAAAGCACAACATGGGCCAAAAGCACTTGGACATCAGGGCTGGCGATCCAGAGCATACCACAAAAAGAGGGGGCACCCGTGTGGCTGGCAAAATCCTCCACCAAGCACAGGGTGCTTAGGGGCACGTGCATGGGTGTGGTGGGAGAGGGGGACAGAAGTGGAGGGGAGGACTGCTCCGGAGCATTAGATCCCCTGGCCTCTGGCCCCGGCCTTCCCTTTCCTCAAGTCCCTGGCCCCCTCTGCGGTTTGCCCTGGGCAAGCCTTCTCCCGCACCCAGCGCCTTAGCCTCAGCTGGGAGCCTTGGCGAGCAGCTACTCACTCTTCCTGTTCCTCAGGACTCTTACTTCTAGGAACCGAGAGGAGAGAAGTGACAGAAAAGTTATAAGAGGGAGAGCGGCTGGGGGGGGAGGGGGGAGACAGGGACAGCTTGGGAGGGCAGAAGGGGGAGAACAGAGGAGGAGCTTTCCTGTCCTTGTGCCGCTGGCACTGCCTGCTCTGGGCCCCACAGGGGTGGTCCCCCCAGCTCCCCGCAGGCTGCACAGGGCATCTTGGCATTGGGGCTACTAGGGCACCCAGCCCAGCCTCTTCTGGGAAGGGCTATCTGTTTCCTTTCTTTTCCTAGCGTGGACCTGCTGTAAATGAAAGAGAAAGGACAGCTGACTTTAGAGCTAGGGGCTCTGGCTCCATAAGGACCACTTTCCTAGTCAGACAGATGAAGCTTGGCACGGAGGCTCTGAGCATGCTCCCTGTGCTGAGGGACGGGTGAGGAAGGCTCCTCTGTGGGCTGGGCCGGGGGGCACTGGTACCGTCCGAGACCTAGAGGGCAGGACAGTCCTCTGTCCCACAGACCACAGCAGAGGCACTTGAGAATCCTGGTCACCAGTTTTGCTCTTAAAAAAAAAAAATATCCAAGCTGGGCGCTGGTGGCTCACCCCTGTATCCTAGCTATTCCAAAGGCTGAGATCTGAGGATCGTGGTTGGTTCAAAGCCAGCCTGGGCAGGAAAGTCCGTGAGACTCTTATTTCCAATAAACCACTCAGAAAACCGGAAGTGGCAGTGTGGCTCAAGTGTAGAGTGCTCGCCTTGAGCTGAAGAGCTTTCAAGCCCCACAACCGACAAAAAATTAAAAATTCAGGGCTGGGAGGGTGGCTCAGTGGTAGAGCGCTTGCCTTGCGTGCATGAGGCCCTGAGTTCAATTCCTCAGCACCACATAAGCAGAAAAAGCTGGAAGTGGCACTGTGGCTCAAGTGGTAGAGCGCTAGCCTTGAGCTGAAGAGCTGAGGGACAGCGCCCAGGCCCAGAGTTCAGGCCCA